TATCATAACAGTAGAATCTAATAACCTATTATAGATTACCTTCATATCTAATACAAATTTAAAATTTAAGTTACAAACTATTTCAATTGTTTAACTTATATGTATACATATTTTATTCACAATAAAATAATATCGATCCATATGCATTCAAACAATTTAACTGTTGCATAAGAAACATGTATTATGATTTCAACTCTTCAAATATAATCTTAAAATATTTCGTAAATAAATTTTAGACACAATAAACCACGGCTCGGATACCACTAAAGGATTGCATATAGATATTCGTAACACGCAGCGGAAGACAATAACAATCCTAGTGAGATCTTTCGTGTTTAAAATTTATTTACTTGTCAAAGATCGAATTTAAGACGTACCTGGTGATGAGAACCTCGTTTAAAAATTTTCTTCGATAGTGCGAAGACTTTATGCGTATCCACATCGAGACTGATCCTTACTATCAACTCTTTGATCAATGAAACCCGTGAACAAATTGAATGAAAATATTGTGTTGAAATGTTTCTCAAAAATCTCAACTAAAAGGTAAAAGAACAAGAAATATTTTTCTTGTAATTGTATTTTCTCTCTTGGCTTTGTATTGTACTCTCACTTTCACAATGTATGCGGTAAAACAGGGGGCCCAATTTCCCCGTCATTAGGTCGCCTCGCAGGCATACTTCTCGAGGCTCGAAGCTGAGGTTGAGACCTACCCTCGGGAGTTGTCGGGTACCGGCCGCGGGGGGCATTGTGTACTAATGGCTATAATACGGGAGAGGGAAATTCCCTAGGCACATGGCTAAGTCTGACAAAGTCGGTCTGCCCAGAGACTGTATCAAGGTGTCGCATCTAGCCGTCCCATCTCCATACCTCTAGAATTAATGCATTTTGTACTATGTTGGATTTCCCCTCCTATATAAAGGGGATCCTCATCACTTTGTAAAGCGCGGTTGTTGCTCCAATTATTCTACACGAAATATACAAGAACTATGTCCTCTCTCCCTAACACATTCTCTCGATACTATTGCTATTGCTTATTACTTTCATACTTCTTCTTCATTTATTGCTTATTATTGGCCATAAAGATCCTCCCTTGATTATATCCTAACTGTTAGCCCTTTTACCCCCGGTAGCTCAAGCCCGAGCCCAAGCATCGACCTCGAGGCCCCTCACCGGTCAGTCCGAGGCTCGAATAGCTAGCCCCTCGGTTTGATTATAACTCTGCTTTAGTTCGTATTTCGCCATTAAGCTTCACATATCTAGTATCAACTGCTTTAACAAATAACATAAAAATAGATCACGTATTTTTAGAGCCCCATTAACAAATTTAATTGTTATTATCATTTTCACGGTAAACGGTTTGGCGCCCACCGTGGGGCTAAAAATAATAGTGATCATTTTCTTGCTGGTTTCTTCACACAACGCAAGTTATCATTCACACTTTTTCTTGTCCAATATCTTCAATTTCAGGACAAAATATCTGGCTCGATGAACAGAGTGGGAAACAACAACCTCGAAAATAGCAAAGAGAAGGACATGACATCTCCAGATGTCGGTACACCAGCAAACTCAACCGGGGCGAAAGGGGAGACTCTCCGACATGACGTCCAAATGATTATTGGAGGAACCAACGTTCCCCAAGGACCCGTGTTCAAACGGACGAGAACGTCCACCACGGAAGAGGGACCGACCCGAAACCGCGTGTCCGAAAATACCCTCGTATTCAGCGAGAAGGACCTCGAGACCATGATAGAACTGCATAATGATGCACTAGTGATCTCGTTTCTTTTAAACAATACCAAGATAAAACGCATGCTCGTGGATCCAGGCAGCTCGGCCAACATAATTAGATCAGAGGTAGTAGGACAACTAGGGTTGCTCGATCAAGTCGCCCATATCCCTCGAGTCCTCCACGACTTCAACATGATCGGCAAAGTAACGAAAGAAGAGATCACCCTCCCGATTGAGACGTCCGGCGTAATCCAGAACACCGAGTTGCAAGTCATCGACGACGACATGAGGTACAATGCATTACTCGACAAGCCTTGGATACATAGCATGAGGGAAGTACCGTCAACCTTACACCAGGTGATAAAGTTTCCCACGAAATACGGCATCACAACCATACATGGAGAACAGCGGGCAGCGAAAGAAATGTTTGCAGTCCACCATAAGGCGTCGATCCCCATGTTCCCGATCTCGGATGAGGTTAGGAACACACAGACCCCCGAGGACGACGAAGAAGATTTCTTCGCTCCTCGGACCTTCGTCGCTCCCGAAGAATCGGACGTGACTAAATCGACAGTCGAAGAGATGGAGCAGACCATTTAATCGAATACCTCCAGGATCATAAGGTATACCTGGGAACAAGGTTCACCCCCAAACTCAGGAAAGGGTTCATTCAATTTCTTAGTAACTATATCGACTGTTTCGCTTGGTCCCACTTTGATATTATAGGAATTCCGCCGGAAATAACCTTCCACAGGCTGAGAGTCGATCCCAAATTTAAGCCCGTAAAGCAGAAGAGAAGGCCACAGTCTAAGGTAAAACATGCCTTCATCAAAGAAAAGGTATCAAAACTTCTTAAAATCAGATCCATTAGGGAGGTAAAGTACCCCGAATGGCTGGCCAACGTAGTAGTAGTGCGAAAAAAGGGAAACAAACTAAAAATGTGCGTAGATTATAAAGACTTGAATAAGGCGTGCCCTAAGGATTCCTTCCTATTGCCTAATATTAATCGTCTGATCGATGCTACGACCGGCCACGAGATCCTCACCTTTCTCGATGCCTACTCGGGGTATAATCAAATCCAGATGAACCCCAAGGACAGGGAAAAAACCTCGTTCATCACAAAGTATGGTACCTACTGCTACAACGTAATGCCATTCGGGCTAAAAAATGCAGGGGCAACACACCAGCGCCTAGTTAATAAAATGTTCGAGCATCAAGTAGGAAAATCAATGGAGGTATATATTGATGATATACTAGTTAAGTCCCTGCGCGCAGAGGACCATTTGACTCATTTGCAGGAAACTTTCGACATCCTCAGAAGTTACATCATGAAGCTCAACCCCGAGAAGTGCTCCTTCAGAGTGGGCTCGGGCAAATTCCTAAGCTTCATGGTATCAAACAGGAGGATCGAGATAAATCCCGACAAAATAAGGGCCATTGAAGAAATCACGGTGGTGAACAATGGAAAGGCCATCCAACAGATAAGAGGGCGGATAGAGGACCTAGGCAGATTCATATCAAGGTCATCAGACAAGAGCCATCATTTCTTCTCCTTACTCAAAAGAAGAGCAACTTCAAATGGACTCCAGAATGCCAACATGCCTTAGAGGAACCAAAACGACGCTTGACTAGTCCACCTTTATTGCACACACCAAAGGAGGATGAAACACTATACCTGTACCTGGCCGTGACTGAAATAGCGGTAAGCGGCGTACTGGTTCGAGAGCAGTAAGGTACACAATTTCCTATTTATTATGTAAGCCGAACCCTGGGAGACGCCGAAAACCGATATCCCCATCTAGAAAAATTGGCTCTCGCGCTGATAAGCGCCTCCCGAAAGCTGAAGCGCTATTTTCAATGTCACTATATCTATGTTCTGTCGACGTACCCCCTCCGGAGCATACTACATAAACCCGAGCTATCTGGCTGATTGGCCAAATGGGCCATCGAACTCGGAGGGTATGATATCGAGTATCAACCTCGAACAGCCATCAAGTAACAAATTTTGGCGGACTTCGTGGCCGATTTCTCACGCTCCCTCGTACCCGAGGTAGAGAGGGAACTTTTATTAAAATCAGACATGTCTTCCAGGGTATGGACCCTATTCACAGATGGCGCCACAAACATAAGAGGATCCGGGCTCAGTATAGTCCTAAAGCCGCCCATTGGCAGCGTAATCAGACAATCCATAAAAACAACAAAATTGACTAACAATGAAGCTGAGTACAAGGCTATGATTGCAGGTTTAGAATTGGCCGAAAGCTTGGGAGCCGAGACCGTCGAGGCGAAATGCGATTCGCTCCTCGTAGTAAGCCAGGTGAATAGGAGCTACGAAGCTCAAGAAGACAGGATGCAGAGGTACTTGTACAAAATCCAAATCGCTCTGTATTGCTTCAAAGAATGGACCTTAGTCCACGTACCTCGAGAGCAGAACAGCGAGGCTGATGCCCTCACGAATCTGGGATCTTCTGTTGAAAAGGACCTAATCCCCGGGGTTGTTGTCCAATTGTTTGAAATCTGTGGTCGAAGAAGGTCACGCAGAGATTAATTCTACCAGTTTAACATGAGATTGGAGAAATAAGTATATTGATTATTTAAAAGATGGGAAGCTGCCCGCAGATCCAAAAGAATCGAGGGCCCTGAGAACCAAATCAGCCCGATTCTCGCTCGACAAAAATGAGACTCTATACAGGAGAACTTTCAATCGCCCCCTGGCGGTATGCCTAGGGCCAAGTGACACAGATTACGTACTCCGAGAAATTCACAAGGGTACTTGTGGAAATTATTCCGACGCCAACTCCTTGGTCCGGAAGGTGATCAGAGCAGGCTACTATTGGGACAGCATGGAAAAAGACACCAGAGAATTCTTCCGAAAATGCGATAAATGCAAGGCAAGAAACAAGAGACTTTTTAAGCATTGCTATTCTTCCCGGAAGGTTTATAGCTTGCAATATGTAGCATTGTTAGGAGCAAGGCTAGTACACTTTTTTGTATGTTCTCTCACTATGCTCAGTGAGGTATGCCTCTGCGAATCGTATAAAATTTACTAGTTTAGATCATGCCAATAAGAAAGATGGCGTATCAGATTATACTTGACGCTGAGAAACTGATAAATCCTATGGAAAATAACACCTTTTATGAAATTTAGACAACAAACAGAAGAAGATAAGTGATATTGATTTATATGGTGACTTCAATGCATTGAACCGTTTTCATTCAGTCCATCTGCTCTTCTGTGAAAATGCATAGACATGGAAAGATGGCCAGGTCACTTCGATATGATCAACAAGGTGAATAGCAGTTAATGAATAGCTATTTTACATTTATGTTTAATTTCCAATAAGCATACCTTAAAACAAATGGAAAGCCAAAGAAAATCACATTTCTAGGAGACACCTAACAAGATCCCAGAGAAAAATTAACTACACTTATAGCAACTGTTCATGTCCAAGAAACCCTACTTTAATTTTCTTGTTTTCTTTTTCCTTTTTTCAGATATGCATTTGCTTATTCTCGGTCAATGATTACGTGTTGAGAAGATGGAGAAACATTTTTAGCAGAATGCTCAGAAGCAGCAGCCAGTCCCTGCAACATTCTTAGAATCTCAGTAGTGTCCTCCAAATAGTACTTGGCCTTACTAGGTTTCTGGCCAACCGTGCAAGCAAACACTTCAGCCACTGGTGAAAGTGACGCACTTGCTACAGCACTCATTATCACCTCAAACATATCCTCATCTGATCGATCATCCCCTATGCAGAGCACAAATTCTGAAACCGTTCCTTTCTGCTTCATTGTTTCTAGGAGACGTTCTGCTACAAGACCTTTGTTGACACCCTAGGCGGTCGAAATGTACATTCATGACAAATCATACCATCAATTTAAGTTAAAAAGAAAACATAAGGACAAGATATTCCAGTCAGAAAAGAGTGGAGTGCCTTTTCGTGAAGAAAAGCAAGTGATCCAATTTGACAAAGGATAATATGTAACAGCCATCAACTATCTTTGGGAATTCACCGTGACAGAGGTGAACTCATAATATTCACACTTCAGGAAGCCAAAGTAAGGTGACATGATTTAGATAATGGTATGAAAAGACATGATTTATAGTGTGAAAGCTATTTCAAGAGAAGCATGCTTAGTTCTAAAATAGAGTTGCTACACTTTTGAGCTCTAAACACAACTCTTTTAAGTTTTTTCCAAATGTGATTACTGCCCAAATAAAGCTATAAAGCTATCATATTTATTACTCCCTCTGTGGCACAAATTTTAACAAGGAAATGAAGACTTTTGAAAGTTGTGGCGATAAACAATCCATAACATTTGTGTGGCAATAAAAGCTTCTCATTAAGGACATATAGAAATGTGTCAATCTTTTTGGAATAGAGTAATAAGGAAATAGTTCCAAACAAAGTTGAATAGAGGGAGTATAAGTTTCAATAAAGGCCAAGTTCTTAAGGTTCAGTATTGTTGATTTATTTCTTAATTTTCACATAAGGAAGCAACAACAAATTTCTGTAAGTTATCTGGTGAAAGAACTCAAGTTGCTTATGCGAGAGGCCATAAGCAACTTTGATGGTCAGAAATATGTGGGAATCATGGATGTTGAAGCAATGACTAACAAGGAAGGGCTCGATTTGTAGACCTTTTCACCAGCTATAGATGCATGCAAGTGCTTCAAGTGAGAAATGTGAAAAAGATATCATACTGCTCACCTGAGGCTTAACTTCTACAATGTACTGGCCACTCTTGACAGTAACCGGTTCATTTGCAAGAACGCTTTCCAAGTGATCTAGTAGCTCTTTTGCCTGACATGAGCCAAAATCTGGATCAGCGTATCGGTAATTCCAAACAAGCGTGCTTTCCTTGGAATCTATGAAAGAGCCATCAGTGGTTTCTGTGTAGAGACTCATTACGGGCTCAGCAATCTGCTTCCAATAAAAATCTACCGCTGCAACACAAGTTTCCCATTCGGCATCATGATTTGGCCTGAAAAAAAATTGTTTCAACTTCATAGAGAAACCAAAGCATCAAGCACCAAGAGTAGGTGGAGAAAGGTAAAGTTCAGTAAAAGCATTCCTCTCTACCAATTTCCCCATGAACTGAGCTGTGTGCAGACACAAAACAGACATCTGTGGAAATTGAAGAAGACTGCCACCTTAGGAGGAAAACACATATACACTCAGACAGTTAAGATCTGTTTTCACCATAAGCAAATTATTACATTATAGAAGCAAGACCTAATTCATGAATTGTTTATCAGATTGGCATAGTTGATTTGGTCAATCATGAGTTAAATTTAAAACACCAGGATTCAATAGAGATGATAAAACAGTTCTTTCTTTTATTTTTGTTAAAGCGGTAACAGCTTATAATCACACCTCAACTTGCATGCGAGTTGAGCATCTGGAGCTATGGAAGTTCTAACTTCTAAGGCATTACTGCACACGTTTGTGTCAAGGGTGTTCAACATCAATTATATGTTCATAAATATCAATACAGGGCCTATATACAGTATAATTCTCCGACGAAGGGTGTTTGGGGTGACCATCCTTCCACCACTGAAGCTCCACCACTGGCCCACTAGTTATGGACCTTCACCAGTTTTGCTACATACTAGAACATGAATCAAAAAATGGTTAAACCAAATTGCCACTATCAATGGCTACATGTTTAATATTTCAATAATCTACACAAGCCAGTTTCTCTATTACTAGAAACTCTTTCTTACTCTTTCATTTAGTTCTCTTCCATTTTCAAGAATCTTAAACACCACAGTGCCCCTCCCCTGGTCCTCACAGACCTTAAGCAAGTAAAAACAAGAAAGAAGAACCAAAAGTAATACAGCAGAAGAATGAACAGCAGAAAAACTAACGTCACCTACTTAGTTGACTAGTAGCACAAAGATAGATATAGAAAGTGGAATTTAGCTTCACACATAAACTTGAACGGTAACTCAGCAAGCTTCTGCCTACCTTCTGTTCACTGACTGTATTTAGACTCAGAGTTAGATGTTTCCAAAATATTGCTAGCCATCTTATCAGGTTCTCCTTAAGCCTAGATCAATTCCAGTTCCTTGCATTCTTAATGTCTACTCTTCTGCTTAATCTTTATTTGACAAAGTCAGAAAAACTGTGTACTTCCAGTTAGAACACTTTGCACACACCGCAGCTTAAGATTTCGTTAGTGATTAGCCACAATCTTTTTACACCAGTCGAACGAATCACCTTAATAATGTATCACTTGGGGGATTAACAGTAGAAAACAACACGGTAATTGCAGGACATAAAAGATTTACCTCACAAAATAGCCATGCTCTGCTGCAAGTCCTAGTGTTTCGCACGAAGAAAACCACTGAGTTAAAGTCTTTGTGTCTTTTCCACTAACAATGAAAACGATATTCTTTGGATCCCTGCACAAGTTGTTTAAGATACTAACGACCTCTGCATTTGGGCCCTTGCTAATAGAGTTTCTCACTGTCATTGTACCATCATAATCCAAAAGGATTGCACGGTTCTTTGTCCTTTTGTAAGCAGATACAATATGCTCAACTGACAGTTTCCGGAAGCTAGGATCCAAAGCAATCACACGGAACCCTAAGCCAAATCCAATACCCCAACACCTCCTCCTCACATGATCCCTACATGCTCTTTCTAGATCTTGCAAAAAGCTCTGAGCCCAATATGCCACATCATGAGTGCACACATACCTGTAGTGCTTCTCATGACGCATCTGCATCTCTTCCTCGGAGACAACTAAAGCAGAATCCATAGCCTCAGCAACAGCATCAATATTCCACGGGTTGACCCTTATCGCACCACTAAGAGATGGAGAGCAACCAATAAACTCAGAAACTACCAACATGCTCTTCTTTGGTGCTGTTGGATTCAAGCCCAAGGTAGCATCAAGCTTCCCTGTTCCTTGCCGGCATATAACATATTCATAAGGTATTAGGTTCATTCCATCCCTTACTGCAGTAACGAGACAGCACTCAGCAATAACATAGTAAGCAATGCGTTCATAGAACTGAAGAGGTGTATCAACCACGATAACTGGTTCATAGCCAGTCCTTCCAAAATTCTGATTGATTCTCTTTACAGTTGCATAAGTTTCAGCCCGGACTTCCTGCACATCTTTCCCTCGGCCTCTGGCAGGATTTGCAATTTGAACCAAAACCATTTTACCTCTCTTGTCAGGATGTTGAGAGAGCAGTTGCTCAAACGCCAAAAGCTTCAAGCTTATTCCTTTGAATATATCCATGTCATCAACTCCAAGTAAAACTGTCTGACCCTGGAATTTATCTCGTAGCTCTGCAACCCTGGTCTCTGTCTCATGCAGGTCCAGCACAGATCGAAGTTGACCCATATGTATTCCAACTGGTAAAATCTTAATGCTAACAGTGCGGCCATAGTACTCTAGTCCTATATAACCTCGTTTAGATTGATATGAAATCCCAAGCATTCTACTACAACAAGAAAGGAAATGTCTTGCATAATCAAAGGTATGAAAGCCTATCAAGTCAGAGTTCAAGAGTGCTCGTACAATTTCATCCCTTACGGGCAGAGTTCGGTATATCTCAGAAGATGGAAATGGGCTATGGAGGAAGAATCCGAGCTTCACTCTGTTAAACCTCTTCCTCAAGAATGTTGGTAGCACCATTAAATGGTAATCATGAACCCAAACGAAATCATCATCAGGACTAATCACTTCCATTACTTTGTCCGCAAAGATTTTGTTCACTGAGACATAAGCTTGCCACAGGGAACGATCAAATCGACCACCAAGATCCGGAGACAGAGGAAGCATGTAGTGAAACAAAGGCCACAAGTGCTGTTTGCAGAAACCATGATAGAATTTACTGAACAACTCAGGTGGTATGAAAGCTGGGACACATTTGAAAGTTTCAAGCAAAGTTAGTGCAACATCNTGTGCAACATCATCTTGTTCACTTGGGTCAATTTCTTCTTTGAGACAGCCGATGTAAATCACTTCCACATCTTCTCCAAGACCATCTTTGAGCTGTAAAAGAAGGGAATCTTCATCCCAACTGAAGTTCCAGCCTTCCTCACCATCTGTTCTCCTATATGCTCGAAGAGGGAGTTGATTCCCCACGATTATCATCCGCTCTTGAGAAATCGATGAAGGAGCATCGGAGGCATTACTTCTATTTTCATCATCAAGCTCAGATAAAACCCCAGCTACAGTTGCAACCCTGGAAAGCTTCCTACCACTTCTACCAAATGTTGGTGAATCACCAGAAGTAAGATCTAGCAAGTTGGAATATGACCTTGAAACCATTATTTGCTATTTTTTTTTTCTTTTTCTTTTTTTGTTCCTGTAATCAGAAAAGATTTTTCCTCCTTTGCTCAATTGATAAGTTCAAGCTATATAAATGCATGGAAAGAATAGATTGAGAACAGAAAACAAGCAAGAATAAGACTCAGGTCATTGAGAATGTACAAACGGCAAACAAATCATTCTATTATATAGCAAGGGTCCCACTATATGGTCCACGAGAGACTCATAATCATAGCATTAAAGATCAAANAACAGAGGTCTAGCTACCATCCTGAAGGATAAATCTGATGGCATATGCAAAAACCAAGCGGTAAAAACAGAAGGTTTTGAGAAACAACACTACAAAAAGCCAAAGCTCCAACAAGAATTTACCTCAAAAGGGCAACCAAGAAACAGACCAGATACCCCACATGTTAAGCTTAGCAAGAAAAATAGAAATGCAAAAATTACTCCATCTTCAAGCAAAAAAAATTTTGGTTTGCAGAAAGATTATACTTGCCAAGAGAAAAGGAAACATTACACCCCACTCAAAACAAGAAAATGGATGGTGGTGAAGAAAGTGCTATTACAAGTGGTTGCAGATAGTGGCCATGCAACAAAGACCTAAAAAGCAAAAGAACATTATAACACTCAAAAAATATTATAGCAGCCAATTCAGCTGAGGATCAGTGGAATAAAGAAAAAAAAAAGAGCTTACCTTTCAAGAAAACCAAAGAATGGTTTTTAGAAAACCCAAAGATTCCCACTATGAATATCTTAAGATTAGATTCTCTTTCTCAAAGCAAAAACAATGGCATCAAGAATAGGCTTTTTTCTTTCTTTTTTAGCTTGTCTAAATGCACATATGATACATTTTTGCTACAATCATCATCACTACAGTACTAAAAACCCCAGAAAAGGTGGTGTCTTTGTACAAGGAATTTGATTCTCTCTCTTTCTCTCTCACACACTTTACACACATGAAACTGTAAAAAATTGTCTTTGGTGAAAGCAAGAAAGAAGTGAACAGCGAGCTCCACTTTCTGGTATCTCTATATTTGCCTTCTTCTTTTCTTTTTTTTTTTTGCATTAAAATATGGCTTGTTGGACTATAGTTTACAGTGTTATTAAAGCAATTATATAGAAACTTAAATTCATATGAGTTCTATATCCACGCGAGTGATTCAGCGCGTATAATCACGCTAAATTATTGGATTTAGGACAGCCACTTGGACTAGTGAAATGAGAACGTTTCCCGGATGTTTGGGTTGTTGGCGTGACTTGTCGGAGAGAGTAAAATTTACGCGCTATTATATCGAATGGGATACGAATTGAACACCATTTCCTCGGCTTGTCCGCTAGGTTTCCTTAATGTGACAGACGAGTCGTTGTAAATTTCAGGAGTTCTCTAATGATGCGGAGAACTCGATACTTTGTTTAAGTAGTGCACTTAAATTCGAAAATTACTTACATGAACTATCAGATTTAATTACGAAAAAAATAAAAGATTTAACTTTAGCATTATAAATTGAATAAGAATATTACTTAAATCACTTTTGGCAATATATTGGGTCCAATCCTCTTAGACCTAGCATGAGAGACCATTAGCATGTTTGGCCAAGCTTCTCCCGAGGCCAAAAGTATTTTTTTTTTCAAAAATACTTTTTTTCCTCAACTTTAAGGTGTTTGACCAAGCTTTTTGAAAAAAAAATATTTTTTGGGAAGAAGCAAAAGCAATTTTAACTTTTCTTCTTACCAAAAATACCATTAATAAAGAAGGTGGTGAAGAGGAGAAGAGAGCGAACAGTGAGAGGTATAAGGTAGCTAGGAAGGAGGCGAAGATGGCAGTAACGGAGGCTAAGACGGCAGCTTTTGCTCGTCTGTATGAGGAACTAGGGAACAAAGGTGGGGAGAAGAAGTTATTCCGACTCGCTAAGGTGAGAGAGAGGACGGCTCAGGATCTGGACCAAGTGAGGTGCATAAACGATGATGACGGCAAAGTTTTGATAGAGGATGACCAGATTAAGAGGAGATGTCAGACCTACTTTCATAAACTTCTAAATGAAAAAGGGGATCATGATATTGTACTAGGTGAATTGAGGAATGCCGACAGTCCCATGAGTTAAGTTATTGTAGGGACGTTGAGGTCGATGAGGTCATGGAGGCAATGCGTAAGATGAGAAGGGGCAGAGCTACCGGGCCAGACGAAATTCTGGTTGAACTTTGGAGGTGTGTGGGTAGAGCAGGCTTGGAATGGCTTACTGGGTTGTTTAATGTTATATTCAAGGCTAATAGGATGCCTCAAGAGTAAAGGTGGAGTACAATGGTTCCGTTATATAAGAACAAAGGCGATATCCAGAGCTGTAACAACTATAGGGGTATCAAATTACTGAGTCATGCCATGAAAGTTTGGGAGAGAGTGGTAGAAATGAGAGTGCAGAGTACAGTGTCTATTTCAGAGAACCAGTTCGGGTTCATGCTGGGGCGTTCTAGCACAGATGCTATCCACCTTATTAGGAGGATGGTGGAACATTACAGGGATAGACTAGAGAAAGCATACGACAGGGTTCCTAGGGAGGTCTTATGGAGCTGCTTAGAGGTTGAAGTGGTCCTGGTTGCCTACATTAGTGTGATTAAAGACATGTATGATGGAGCTTAGAATCGGCTTAGGACAGTAGGAGGCAACTTCGAACATTTTCCGGTTGTTACGGGATTGCACCAAGGGTCTGCGTTCAGCCCTTTCCTATTTTCCCTGGTGATGGATGCACTAACTCATCATATTCAAGGGGAGGTGCCATGCTGCAAGCTATTTACTGATGACATAGTTCTAATTGACGAGACACGAGGCGGCGTCAATGAGAGGCTAGAGGTTTAGAGACATGCCCTTGAATCTAAAGGTTTCAGGTTTAGCAGGACGAAGACGGAATACCTCGAGTGCAAATTTGGGGCCGAGCCGACAGAAGCGGGAGTCGAAGTGAGGCTTGACTCTCAAGTCATTCCTAAGATGGGTTGTTTCAAGTACCTTGGGCCAGTTATTCAGGGGATCGGGGAGATCGACGAGGATGTCACACACCGTATAGGGGTGGGGTGGATGAAGTCGAGGTTAGCGTGGGGAGTCCTGTGTGACAAGACAGTGCCACCATTACTAAAAGGTAAATTTTATAGAGCAGTGGTTAGGCCGGCCATGTTGTATGAGATCGAGTGTTGGTCGGTTAAGAATTCAGACATCCAGAAGATAAAAGTAGTAGAGATGAGGATGTTGAGGTTGATGTGCGGGCATACAAGGATGGATAAGATTAGGAATGAAGATATTCGAGAGAAGGTGGGCGTGGCACCGATGGAGGACAAGATGCGGGAAGCAAGACTCAGATGGTCCGGGCATATTTAGAGGAGGAGCACTGATGCACCGGTGAGAAGGTGTCAGCGACTGGCTGTGGTGGGCACGAGGAGAGATAGAGTGAGACCTAAGAAGTATTGGGGAGAGGTGATCATGCAGGACATGGCGCGACTTAGGATTACTGAGGACATGGCCCTTGACAGGGAATTGTGGAGGTCGAGCATTAAGGTTGTCGGTTAGGGGGGAAGTTGTGAATATTTCTACAGTGCACTAGAGTGAGACTAGCCAGTTAGGAGTTAGTCTTAGGTTGCTACTGATGCAGGGCTTTATCTGCTGGATATTATTATACCTTCCATCTTTTTCGTATTTCCTATATTTCTTATATATCTATTTTATTGTTATACTGATTTTGGATAATCGTTGGAGGAGAGTTTAATCACCACAAAAGTGTAATAATTCAGGAAGCGTTGCTACTTCTTCAATAAGATACGTAAGGCAGTCTTCTTTCTTGGTCTATTTTTATGTAAGCACTTCTTTTAAATAGTCCACATGTGGTAAGACTAAATTGTTCTAAGCCTCTCTTGACAAAGATATTCATGTCTTTATTCATTCTTAGCGGTGGCATTTTCCTTCATGTTTGAAATATTCCCGGATGGTGTCGTGAGGTTGTGAAATGTAATTCACTCTAAGTCTAACCTTGAGACCCCTTGAAATTGATCATGCATTACACTTATATATATATATATATATATATATGTATATATATATATATATATATATATGTATATATATATATATATATATATATGTATATATATATATATGTATACTATCGGGTACGACACCTATTATACAACCAATGATCAATTGGGTATAATGAATCATAATGTGTGATATCAGGTTATTGAGTCCTCTTGAGGCCGACTACACCGAGTCCTCTTGAGGAAAGGTACAATCGAGATATCCTAAGGCCGGGTATGATCGAGTCCTCCATGAGATCGGGTACGACTAAGTCCTCTATAAGGTCGGGTACAGAGTGATGTGATATGGAATATTACCGAGCCCTTGTGTGGCCGGATAGGACAGAGTCCTTTTCAGATAGAGTACACTGAGTTCTATTGAAACCGGGTACAACCGAGAGCTCTTGAGGCTGAGTACGATATATGACATGATATGCCCCAAAGAGCGGCTGAATGATGGCTATATTGTGTGATTAATGCATAGGACCAATGATTGGCCTCACTTTCACAAAACTCACATGCAATTATGATTCATGGTTTCCGTAGTATACACCCCCGGTGGCTTGTCTTCGGTATTCAGGTAGACGTGATGTATTTCGTACCTCTTTTATTTTGTCTTTGGTTTATGTTCCTTATCAATCTTATATACTCAATACATTTTTCGTACTGACGCCCCTTTCTTTTGGTCGCTGCGTTCAAGCCCACAGGTACATATTGATCTAGTGAAGTCCCATCCAAGTAGGATGCTCATTTCTATTGTTGGTTGTTGCACTCCACTTTCCGGAGTAGCTGTTCAGAAGTCAATAGGTACTGAGGTATATATTCCAGTCATTTTGGGTACGATTGGGCCCTATCCTGACAAAGATATGTACTTTAGTTTGGTACTCTTAGAAGCTTGCAGACTAGTGTTTGGGTCTATATAAAGTTTAGTTATGACCTTGTTGGTAACAATTGTGTGTGTGTGTGTGTGTATATATATATATATATATATATGTTGAGACTTCTTCCTCAATTAGTGGTGATCACTTAAAATTTGGTACTGTACTTGGAGACCTTATCGGCCCATATTTCATGTTATTGGGGTCTAAGCCTAGATATGGTTCACACGTGACTTCGGGTTTCGTGTGCCGGTCGCACTTCCCGAGGTTGGGGTTTGACAAACTTGGTATCATAGTTGGTTTGTCGTAGGGAGTCTGCAAGCCATATTTAGTAGAGTCTTGTTTATGAGTACGTCGTGCACCATACTTATAAACAGAAGGCTACGGGATATCTAGGGTGAATACCTTTCTTTATGCTTATAGCGATGCCTACCACGAGATGTTAGGCAATTGTTCAGGGATTGAATAAAGAAGTAGGAGAAAGTACCAGCTTGGTGCCACCTGCCCCTATGGGTCAACATGGACGTCACGATAAGGGTGATACTCAAGTTTTGAGAGCAACACTATTGCCTCTGGAATAGTATAGAGAAACTAACATACCCCCGATTTTCTCCCCCAATTGTTCCTAAACAGGACTTAGATATGAGAAGTGTTGTGCAACTGTTAACTCAACTAGTAACCTCACAGGCCCAGCCTCCGGCCCCTGGTACTCCGGATAGGGCAGTTAGCGCGAGAGTTCGAGATTTTATTAATCTAGATCCCCCAATATTCACCGGAACAGATCCAAACGAAGATCCTTAGAACTTTTTAGATCAGATGCAGCGGACTTTACGAGTTATGCATGCCACTAATACCGAGTCCATAGAACATGCCTCTTATAGATTGGGGGATATTGTTGTGACTTGGTATGAAACATAGGAACAGTCTAGGGGACCTCTTGCACCACCAGTAGGATAGAGGGAGTTTTCTGAAGCATTTGTGCAGCAATATTTGCATATTGAGCTTCACCGAGCCAGGCAAGATAAATTTTTACTTTTGGAGCAAGGTAACATGAGTGTTCGAGAGTACAACATGCAATTTAACTCCTTGGCCAAGTATGTCCCTTAGGTTGTGGCAGAGATGAGT